CCAAAATGGAAAGACGCCTAGGCTGACAGCATGAATGGTCTGTGATTCCAAGTTACAAACTTTCCCTTGTGGGGAAATGTGAGCTCGGACCTGTTACCCCTTCTGAACCTGCTTCTCTTCAGGGGCTCTGTCTTATTGAAAGACTCCGCTACCCCTCCAGTGCCCCAAGTGAGAGAATAATAGACTCATTCTCAACTCCTTCTTCCTCATGCCCCCACATCCAATTCTCCAATCCGTCAGTGAGTCCCAGTAATCCTAAATTTCTCCTGAATCCAACTTTTTTTTCTACCCCCATTACCACCACTCTTGCACAAGCCTTCAGCACCTCATCTGGATAGACTCCCACAGCCAGCCCCTATCCCATCTTCCCCAATGGCAGAGCAACGCTGTGTGTCCACAAATCCATTTCATTTTCTCCCTGGGCACACAGAATGACCACATCTCCCAGCTGCCCTTGCAGTTCAGTTGGGAACCATGGAATGTGGGTGACAAGGATGAAATGCCACTTCCAGGCCTTATCGTAAAGCCTATTCTTCAGTGACATAGAGGTCATGGATTGAAAATGGTGGCACCACAAATGGAAGGAGCCGGGATCCCTGAGTCACAATATGGAAGGCTGCCAGCCAAATATCTGATTGGAACTGTAATGTCAATGAGATGTAAACCTTTTATTGTGTTAAGTCACAATATTAAGAATTGTGTTAATTAAGGGTTGCTCTCTGCCCCTCCCCCCCACTCTCACACTCTCTCTCCCTCTAAAAAAAAAAAAGAATTGAGGGTTGCTCTTTGTAGCAGTTGACTTATCCTAACACTCTGCTTCCACTCTTGCCCCTTCCTGTGTCTTCTCTTCTTCTCACAATGCCAGTGTAATTTAACTACAAAACATACCTGAGCATATCACCATCTACCACTCCCCAAACATGAACAGATTAAAATTCTTAAATGCTTGCCCTTGACCTTAGGAAAGTTCAAAACTCTTAAGATGGCCTACAAGGTCTACTCCTGTTGAACTTTCCCGTGATCTGTCCCTATTCATTCATTCATTCATTCATTCATTCATTCATCCATTCATCCATTTATTTATTCAGTGAATATATATTGAGCACCATCTATGTGTCTATAGCTATACTAGGTCTGGGGATGGAGTAGAGGCAAGGGAGAAAAGAGGACAATCATTTGGGAAGCTATCATATTTGTCCAGAAAGAAAGTGAGGGCCTGAGCTACAGCATGTCTCCAGGCTCTAACACTCCAGCTCTGATGGGACTTAACAGAAGATCCAACCATGGTGTCGGAGTTGGAGATTTCCCTGGAGGGATATTGATGAGCAAAAGCCTGAAAATGCAAGTTCTAGCCTAGCCCAAAGAGAGAATAGAAGAATTTGAAGACAGATATTTACTTACAATGGACAGCATGAATGAGAAGAGGGGTGGATCCAAGATATTTTAGGAAATACATTTGGCAGGATTTGGGAACTGACTATGGAGAGTGAGAAAAGGCACCTGGGTAGAGTTCCAGATGGCAGGCTGTGGCGAAAAACAGGGCTGGGGGGAGATGATGATACCACAATGTGTTGATGACTATAGCTTTGTAGTAAGTCTTGAAATCAAGAAGTCTGAATCCTCCAACTTTGTTCTTCTTTCCCAAGATTGTTCTGGCTATTCTGGGTCCCTTGAATCTCTATGCAAAATTTAGGTCACTTTGTCCATTTCTACAAAGAAGCTACCTGGGATTCTGATTGCGATTACAATGAATTTATAGATCAATTCTGGGAGTATTGCTATGTGAAAAATCTTGTCTTCCAACTCATAAACATGGGATGTTTTTCCATTTACGTAGGTTTTTAATGTCTTTCAACAATGTGTCATATTTTTCCCCATACAGATTTTGTACTTTTGTTAAACTTATTAAGTATTTTATTTTGATGCTATTGTAAATGGAATTGTTTAGTTTCATTTTCAAATTGTTCATTGCTAATGTATAGAAATACAACACATTTTTGTATACTGATCTCGTATCCGGCCATTTTACTCATTTATTTCTTCTGACAGTTTTATCTGGAAATTCCTTAGAATTGGCCATACATAAGATCATGTCATCTGTGAAGACATAGCTTTAGTTCTTCATATTCAGTCTGGATGCTTTTGTTTTTTCTTGCCTAATTGCCCTGGCTAGAACTTTTAGTACAATGATAAATACAAGTGGCATAACTGGGCATCCTCGTCTCGTTCCTGAACTTGGGCGGGGGAAAGCTTTCAGTCTTCCACTGAGTGTATTAGCTGCGGGTTTTCCTAAGTGCTCTTTATCAGGTTGAGCAAGTTCCCGTCTATTCCCAGTTGTGGTTTTTTTTTTTTTTTTAAATCATGAAACGGTGTTGGATTTTATCAAATACTTTTTATGTATCTATTGATGTGGGGTTTGGGGTTTTTTTTTATTTTATTGATATTGTATCCCAGTTCCTTTTTTAAGCTAAAATCTTAGGATGAGTTTCAAGATACAAAACAAGAGTGAGGGGTTGCTCTGGTTGAAGCAGGAAGAGAAGCCTAGGGCTGCCAGGCTGGCCCCGCCAGCCATTCCCTCCCAAGTAGCCCTGGGTTCCAGAGAAAACTAAGGTAGGGTCCGAACAAGAAGAGCAAGTGGCCCCCACAGCTCTCATCTAAAACTCCTTGTTGGGCCTGGCTCTGTCAGCTAACTAGGCCCTGACCCTCAGCCTCAGGAGGCCCTGGTTGGCAGGGTTGGCTGATTACAAGTACCCAGCCGCTTTATCAGCAGCAGCTCATTAGCATCCTGAAAATTGCATATTTATCCTGGCGTAGGGCTCCAGAGTCAATTGCCCCACTACCTCCTGGGCTGAAGGGTTGATCTGGGGGCTTTGGAATCCTTCACACTTGCCCTTTCTGACGGTATCTCTCCATTAAACAGCTCAGACCTATGGTTACAGCAAAACCTGTACTTCCAGAACCTTGATTATAATCAACCCAAAATACAGAGGTTCAGTATCTCAAACAGATTGCAGACAGCCCACTGATTACTTTTTGGGAAGACTGATTAAGAAACTTTATTACAGAAAATGAATGCATCCAATGTCCCCAAATACATTTGTGACAAGAACAGACACACAGGAGACACAGACAATAGTTGCTACATCACAGCCTTGTTCTTTCCAAAGGATAAACCATCATTCAAAAATGGGGTGAGGGGGTTGGGAGAGAGGTGGTTAGAGAAAGCAGGTACTGTCCTTTGGATTTAAAAAAAAAAAGGGGGGGACCAGGTTGGCATTGCGAGATCACATACTGTGGGCCCAGAAATCAAGCTAAGCCGAAGCCTTAGATGGTGACACCATATGCTACTTGTAACATCTCCAAGAAGCTACAAAGCATCATTCCATTAAGAGGAGCAATCTTATGCTGGGGTGAAAATGTGGGCCAAGTGGCCTCAACTGGAATCTCTTTAGAACTCTGTCTGCTTAGTCAAAGATCACTTAAGCAGCTCCCTCGTTTAGCACAAAAGTGTTACAACCAGATAGACACCACTTAGCAAGTCTGCGGTCCTTTGGGACTACAAGTTGAGCTTCTCTTCCATATTTGATGAGGTTGACCAGTTCCCAAATCTTAGCCTGGTACATCGTATGCCGGGCAGCAGCTGGAGGAAAGTGCAAGGGCATGGCTGAAGCAGAGGGGCAATCCTGGAACAAGTGCCTCTGGGCAAACCTCAGGACCAAGGGTTTTTAAATTCGTGGTCATTTCCTAGAAGAGCTTGAAACACATTTAGGACAAGTAGTTCTGATGTGAAAAGGAATGGCTATGAATACCGATTAGAGATTGGGCCGGTGACCATGACCGTGATATACCCATCCAGGACCTGACAGGGTGGGGAGGACACAGCCTGCAGACATGCAAGTTTGCAAATAGTGGATTTTAAGAAAAAGCTGCTTTCTCCTGAGTAAGGTCACTACAACACTCCCGAGAGTGCTTCACAGCCGCAAACACACACAGCCGAGTATTCATGCTGGGCAATAGGAACACTCGCCCACAACATAGTGTCCTTTGTTACTGCCGACAGTTAAGATGGGTCAGCCCTAGAAAGGATTTTTAATGCCACCACGTACCACTGTGGCCATCACATCACCCCCTTCCCCAATTGGGACAAAATGTGACACCGTCCACCAACATGAAATAACCACTGAAACACAAACCAAGCTTCTTCGAGTTTAACAACATTTAACGACCACCTACATTTGCAGTCAATGAGCTCAAACTGTGGGCAGGCCATTCTACTTTTCATAGGACGCATGTAATGCTTAGAAACAATTGATCCCGTCAGCCGGCCTGCAGTACAGGGACCCCAGCCATCTTCCTTGGGGTGTTCGGTTTCTTGAAGAAGTAGGAAAACAAATGGCTACCGTCCCCTACCCTACCACCCTTCCCCTCACTGGGGTCCAGGAGACAGAAGCAGCAGCTCAAGACACCTCCTCCATTGTTGAGCAGAACCAATGATAATCTGCTACATGTACTGGGGGCAGGGGCGACGAAAAAAAGAAGCCTGAACGTTGGATACATCATACCCTTGGGACGTTTTTGCTGGTTAGCAATGAATTTGGCCCCACGGTATGGGGGGAGGGCGGGCGGTGGAGGGAGGCCAAAAAAAAAATCTAACACTACATCACAGCAGAACCTGACCGGCCAAAAAAAAAAAAAAAAAAATTAAACCTACATAGTAGTCAGCTTCAATCCTAACCGCCCACCTTTCTGCACCTCCTTGCCTGGGTCAAGTTATCTTGGCTTCTACATTCAGCAGTTCAGACTTCATCCTAATGCCACTCAGACACAAACAAAATCACGTAGTACCTTCGAGTAGCCTCTTCATCTCTATCCTAAGTAAGCCGGCCACATTAAGAGAAGGTACCAGATGTGCAGGGAGCCTAGTCGCCAAATACAATGGAGTGGGTTGTTAGTAAGACTGCTGTTGAGTCAGAAATTTAGACTGTTATAATAGAGAACAGTTTTAAAAATGTAATACTGTTTATTTAACTTCAAAAACATTTCAGCATTCTAAACATACAAAAAAATAACAGAACGTTGCAAATTGTGTTTAGTACAGAAGGTTCTTGAACTTTCATTGATGCAGTGGCTCTTCGCTTTGCTGACAATGAAGAGTTCTACAGTTTGTTTAAAAACAAACAGTTTAAAACTACCGCACTTAACTAAAAAGGATCCAAACACTTCTCATGCCAGCTGACCCCCCCTTTGCCACAGCTAAGAATGGCAGCAGAATGCTAGGTCACTATATACAGAAACAAGACAACCGGAAGCTAAATGGATGCCCACTGCAGTGTCCACAGGTCCAGCCTCACAGTGCACGCCCTGAGCTACAGCCCCTCCAAAAGGCATCTTCCCACAGCCTCAACGCCAAGCAAGGAGCATCAAGAGTTTGTCTCGGTTGTTTTGTTCTTTTTACAAACTATAGATATGTACAGTTGATAACTCAGGATTTCTAGCCAATAACCATATAGTTAACACCACCTTACAAATTAAAAAAAGAAAATGCCAGAAACATCTTTAAATGCCTTGTCACACCAACAGCAAAGTGCACAGAGTGAGGAGAACACGAGAGCCTTTTCATTTTAAAAATGTTTGGAAATATGTACAACTTTGATACAGTTTCAGGGTGCTCCGGACACCCATGGCCACTTCATGTAAACCACTGACAATTTCTAGAGCACTTTGAGAAACTACAATATGACCATGACCCAATTGTGTAATTAAACCTAATGAGGGCAACAGACACGCCTCAAATAAGAGGGGTGTCAATGACGGCGCTCCCTACTCTAAGGTATTCACAAGGAGACAGATCAACAGTTTTTTTTATTCATCCTCCTCCTCCTCCTCCTCCTCCTCTTCTTCCTCCTCGTCTTCTTCATCTTCCTCTTCCACCTTTTTCCGGGCAACTTTGGCGGGACCCTTTGCGCCATCAAACTTTCCTTTAGACTTATAGTCAGCGACATCCTGGAAGGAACAGGGACACATTCCAAATGAATAGACAAGCTCTCCCGCAGCTGTTTTAGCAAGGGGTAGAAACATGCTGTCCCCACCTCAGAATTGAGAACAAGTGAGTAAGACAGGGCTGCTATTTGAAGTATGTTTCCAGATACATACAAATTTGGTCCTCGGCTGCTCGAATTTAAAAGTTAAGGAGTGTTTAATAGGACTACCAAATTCTCTGCCCATGGCATCCCACATTTTCAAACATTTTAAGCCTGCCTGCAGTTGTCCCAAAGACAAAATTCTGCCAGAGAAGCCTGAACAGCAGCAATTGCGGCCCATCTTGTAGGGAGATAGGCCCTTGCACGCTAGGCTCACTCCTCAGCCCAGCAAAGCAGCCTTACACGCCCAACCCGCCCATACCCGGGGAGGCTGACTGCTTGCCCATGCAGCCCAGTAGCCTGGGCACACCCGGGCCCACCTCACCTTCTCATACTTCTCCTTCAGCTTTGCTGCCTTATTGTTGTAAGGCTGCTTTTCACTGTCACTTAAGTTATTCCACATCTCACCCAGCTTCTTTGCCACATCGCCAATAGAGATACCAGGGTTTGTAGATTTGATCTTGGGACGGAATTCTGAACAGAACAGGAAGAATCCAGACGGTGGCCTTTTGGGGGCATTAGGGTCCTTCTTCTTCTTGCCTCCCTTAGCTGGTCCATAATCCTTCATTTCTCGATCATAGCGCACTTTATCTGCCTTTGCCATTTCATCAAATTTAGACTTCTCTTTCCCAGACATTGTCTGCAAAGAACAGGACCTGTTAAACTCCTCGGAGCAGAGAGCGGGACTTAAAACCCTTGTCCAGCTTTAAAAAATAAAAGCACACACACAATTCTAAAGGCAGACAAGAGGAGCCTAAGAGGAAGAAAAGAGCCACCTGGGGCTACTCAGAAGGTGAGTAACCCTATGTGTGAAATCCAACTAAGGCTAGCTTGAAGGACACAAAAGAAAAGTACCTTCCACCTCTCAGAGCACTTCTTGGAAAATTCTGCAAAATTGACAGGGACCTCTGGGTTTTTCTTCTTATGTTCCTCTCTGCACGTCTGCACAAAGAAGGCGTAAGCAGACATCTTGCCCTTTGGTTTCTTGGGATCACCTTTAGCCATCCTGACTGTGATGGATGAAGGAAGAGAGACAAAGAAAAACAAATACAATGACTAGAACAGATCTACAAGATACACCAAAGGCAGGGCAAAATCCAAATTAAGGTCACCGCTAGGAAGCAGCCCCCCACCCAATGCCTGATGCCACTGGCCCGTCGAAGGCAGAGTGGGGAGGAAATCAGCTTCACTGTCGCTTGTCATTTAACTTTTGACCAGCATGAAGCGCGCTGGTTTGCGAGTTACTTCTCCGAGAGCGAGAGCGATCAAGTTCTCCAAATGGAACCGACCCAAGTGGGGTGGCTCAGCGCTACATTCCGATTCAGAGCTACTACGTTTTGGAAACTACAACCACAAAGTGGGAAGGGCGCGGGGAGGACACATTTGTAGGGGTGCAGGCGGATGACAGAAGCTTGAGACCAGTGACTTAAGGCTAGCTGTCAACTGTTTATCTGCTCCGTTACAGACAAAAATACTGTCACCGCTGCTAAACACAAGATCAAAGCGGGAGAACTGTAAATAGGGAACATTTCAAATTTCACTATTGTTGATGCATTTTGGCTTATAAAAATGGCTTTTGCAAGAAAGGTGATCTAGCAAGTGAGCAGCTACCCCTGTACTATTAGTTCAAATCTGTCACGCTGTCATTATCTAAAGGGGGAGGGGATGCCAAAAGGGCTAGTCTTGCTCATCAGTAAAGCGGAACGCATGTCCAGCCAGGAATACTTTCTCCAAAGTTTCCAAATAAAAATGCAGCTGTAGCTTGTCATCGTCCCTGTCCCACCCCCCAGCTTCCCGCCATCTTTTCCTTTTCCCACACCCAAGGTCATCATGTAAAACTAAAGCGCTCCCCTTTGCAGGGACCGACTGAGGGGCTGCGTTAGGGCCCCGCAGTGGCTGCGCGGGTGGGGCGGGACGGGGCGCAGGGGAGCCCGGGGCTGGCAGCGGGCAGCCGGGCTGGGCCCCGTGCTGGGTCACCCGGACACCCATAATTCACCTTCCATTTTGTCAAAAGCTTCCTGATGAAAGAAACTGCCCCTGAAATCCTTCGCCGCCACCCCCGGGGGGCGCGCGGGGCCGGGGGCGGCGGTGGC